TTTTTTTGCACCACGCCGCCCAAGCAAATTAAACGCGCCCCACGGCCATTAGGGTATCGAGAGACTGGAAATTAGTTTGTCGCCCACGCGATCGCCGCGGTAAGGTTTCAAGAGAGGGCGAGCGGATTTTTTAGATGTTGAAATGCGATGGATTCTTCGAGGTCGTTCAAGCTGATTTTAGAAAGATAGAAAAATTGTCAAAGGTAGAGAAATTATTTTATATAGCGGGCAAGACACCCTTGTAGCGCAGGGCAATTTAATAGAACTATCAAAGTAAAATATTCTAAAATAATTCGCGACTAACAATGAAACATACGCCGATTTCGATGAAACATGGCATGAATGTATTTCGACCCCCCCGATGTAGCTTTCGTCGTTAGCAAGCATTAATTTCATCAGTTTACCTCCCTTCAAAAAAACTGTATCTTCAGTCGTTTGCAAGATTTCCAATTTAACGAAATATGTTTCGCGTCCCCAACTGTGAGGGTAGTTTTCACTCCTTCAACATCGACCATTGCTAATAAAAAGAAAAAAAATAAATAAATACGGGTAAATATTCATTTGAAAACTACACTTGTGCAGCTCGAGTTTCGTCAAAATCGGCGATTACCTTGCAAGTTCCATTTCATCGTCGAAATTCGTTCAACCCTCCGTGAATCCAAGTTGCGATTCTCAACTCGATAGGAAAGAGCAACGCGTCAAATCTTTCCCCGGGTGTTCGTTTCATTTTGAAAACGATTTGATGATACGCCAACGAAGATTTCAGCCAGTTGTCCAGTTGGCGGTCAGACCGCGCGTGGCGAGAGGTTTTCTTTCTCCGGGAAGGGGGATTGGAATCGTTGGTGAACGCATAACGCGTAATTACTGTCCACCGAGTGGCCGAGGCAACGTTTATGTGCCGGCCATGTAACGTCCAGTTATACAGGCTCGTCGATGGTCGTCATTTACAGGAATGTCGCATTGGCCAGCAGCCGTGCGCGCGTGGCAACGTACGTGTCAGTGTGCGGCTATTTATGAATTGACACCGCATTAGGGATATTGCTTAACAATAGCGACGCTGTTAGCTCGTCGAAGGGTCGGCGTGAAAAGCTGTTATTTTGAAACGTGTTATCGTTGCAAGTAGTAATTGCGAGATTGCTGAACCCCAGCTAGAAACAGGGGCGTTAACGCTGCGCGTGTTACCGCGTCGATTCTAGATGATTTTACGGGATCAAAAAGTATCGCGATAGCCGCGAGATTATTACGATTGTAATCGTAACTTCTCTCTAAAAATTACAAATTTCGACACGTTTCGCTTTCTTTTCTTCGTCTCTCGCTTCGTCACAACTCCGTTGACACCTCTCTGTCTCGAACGATTCATCGGAATCGTATCTTATTAACTCTTTATCGCTCGCGTAAGCAGCTAAGCGCGGCAAGTTGTTACGCTTGTGCTCTGCAATTAATTAACGTGGCTCGCGGTGAGCCTGAAAGGAAACTTTGTACGGACATCCGTTGTAATTAAACTCGTTGCTGCGTTTTCAATTGAAAAGAAAGGAAAAGGGGGACAGGCAAGGGGAGAGCGAAAGAAAGAGCGAAAATATAAAAGAGGGTTACGTAAATTCTGACACGTTCTTTGCGGCTCCTTCCGCGAAACGCGTACCAATGGAACGCTCGAATTCGTAATTAGAAAAAAAGTCAAAGCGGGCAAAGCGACCGCCAAGCGGATGGAAGAAAGCGAATTTTTCCACCCTTTCCTCTTTTTTGCACCTTTGCTCTTTCTTTTTTCTTTATTTATTTATTTTTTCTTTCTTTCTTTCTTTGACGACAATAAGGTGAAACCGCGCGACTCTTTTTTTTTTTTATTTTTGACCGTCGCCGCCCTCCCCCCTCCTCCGACTCGTTACGTCGATGCCCTTTTTTTTCCACGGTTCTCTCATTACTTCTCCGCGACAAAGTTTAATAATCCCCGCGTAGAGTGTTTATGTTTTTATAAACTATCGCACTTTCGCCACGTTTCGTTTTCTCTCGCTCGCCTTTGCCGCGGAGATTTTCAACAGAGTCGAAACCATTGTATTTGCCGGCTAGATTCTTGGTCTGTTCAGAGAATGATGTTTTTTTTTTTTTTCCTTTCTCCTAAGTTTGCGTAAATAAAAACGTGTCGCCCGGGAATACGTACGTTCGCCGCTGTGCTTATTATAATCGGAACGAGCGAAACGCGCCGCTTTATATCCGCATAAATTCTAGAAAATAAACATTGCGGGACATTACGCGGCTACTGTTTCGCGCGTAATTGAAAAACATCTCGGCTACCCACCGAAACACCAAGTGTTTCGCATTCGGGAGAAATCTTTTTGCAATAACGAGTGCCGCGCGAAGCCTCAAGGCGTGAACGTAATTTACTCACCGCCGGTAGTAATCAAGAAAAGGGCGCGTTGCGAACGCGCGACTTTACTGACGCGCCGCGGGCCATTCTCCGAACGACCCGCGAAAAATGGCTCGGGCTGAGGAATTAACAATTAAAATTCAACCGCCGGGCGTCTCGCGCGGAATCTCGAAACGCGCGTGTACAATATTCCAGCGGCCTAGAAACGAGAAAGCAGGCCGAATGAACGAACGAGGGCGGGAGAAGGGGGTGGTGGGTGGCGTGTGATTTAAAAAGGAACAGCGCGAGAGAGCTTTGTTCGTAGGGTCAATTCTCAAACGTGACGTTCGCGCGCGCGTGAAGTGCATAAACTTCCTGTGACGCGCGCGGCCGAAGGCACAAAACCGCGTGCAAGTTGCGGGGCGGCGAACGCGCGCGCGATATAAAACGCCTTTGTCTTGCAAAAAACTCTCTCCCTTCCTCTCCCCTCACCTCCACCCCTCCCCCTCCTCCTCCGCGAGACGTATATCATGCGAGGGCAGGCCACCACCAGCCCTGAGCATTGTTTCACTCTCGCATAATTACCGCGAGTCACGTTTTAAAGTTGAATTTCACCTAAATAAAGCTTAATGTTATTATCGCGGGCAACGGCGAGCCCGCTCTGCCGCCATTATGAGCTGGTTACAGCCTCAAACGTCATTGTGCCGCGTGATCGTTCCCCGCGATATTAAGGCGCAAACGACGTTTTTCCACTGTTTTTTAACTACGGGCGTCGTCGGCGACCCGTCGCGATCGACGTTAATTAGATGCACGCCGCCAACGTTACCCACGTTGTTACCTCGATATGCATTACATACCTTGGACTAACTACGGCTTGGCTAACTTCGTTACGTTACGGACTCTCGGCCGTCGTTTCTTTGCACGTTCGCAGTTTCCCTTTTAGAAAAAGAATTCCGTTTGTCGAGAGTCGCTGCCGCTGGCCACTAACGCGATTTACCAAGGGAAAACGACGGAACATTCGCGGGGCTGTTGTAATTCGTCGTTCGGTCACGAGACTTCAGCGTCGACGAGATTAGAACAATGGAAAATTTCATAAATTCAAGGACAAAGGCACGACGATTCAATTTTTCCTCCGTGGATGTAATCGTGCGGTCCGTCGATAAATCATTACGCCACTCGCCCGGGGATGAGATTCATCGAGCTGAGAACGTGGAGTAAAGTGGATGAAGATTTGCAAAAAGATGGCAGTCGCTCGCAGAGAGTGGGGGTGAGGGATGGTTAGCCTTAAATTTAGCAGCGACACGATCGGGCAAGGTTGCGCATGTTCCACTGACGTCAACGTTAAATCGAGAAATTAATTACTAAAATTGCAAGAAAAACCGGAGCGGGTCGATAACTGATACAACTTCATTAAATTCGCCGATCGATGAGGAGTGGTGAACGCGGCGGCGCGGGCAAAAAATCAGGCTATTATCCCGCCGAAAACGACGGTATTGATAAAACCCGCGTCGCGATCACGGCCGACCGGACAAACACAATGATAGCGAGCGAACGAAATTTTTTTTTCTCCCCTCGCTTCGAAACCCCCGTCCCACCACCACCCCCGCCACATCCTCGTCCTCCCTCCTCCCGCCGGGTCCACTCCCCCTTTTTTTTCCCGACCCTGTATCACCACCCACCCACGAGCGCCCCTCCGCCGCCCCTGTGCCACCCCTTTCGTGCGTCGTTGCTGCAAAATTCTCCGTCCGCGGGTATAAAAGTCGGCGTAATAAGCGGCGAGCGTTCGAAAGGGGTCGAAAAGGGGTGGATTAACCGACGGCGGCCGTTGATGGAACAACGTAATGCATACGTGATGTTTAATTAATCAATTAATAACCGTATTATTGTTTTGTTTAATTAAAAATAATGAATCTCTCTCTGTCTGTAGCGTTGGTGGGCGGATTTACGAGCACGACCGGCGTCGGCATCATCCACCGTACGTATCAATCGCATTTGAAAGCTGACGCAGGCTACGGATGAGCCTACGTTATGTATCTGTGCTTTTGTCGATATATGCGATAGGTCTATCTGTCTTCTTTTTCTCCCCTTTCTCTCTCTCTTTCTCTGTCTCTCTTTTCTCATATTTTTTTCCCTCTTGCCCCGTATACCGCTTTCTTCTCATCGACGAGAATATTATTTATTTACGCGAGTTGTTTCAGTGTTTCTACTCTTTCTTTTCTTTATCTCTTTTTTTTTGTCCTTTCTTTTTAGTGCACGCGCGAGTTAGTGGATCTTACTTAGCGATCGGGGGAAAAAAAAAAAAAAGAAAAAAGGGATCTACGTCGTAGATTGTACTGCTTTCTCACTGTAAATATCTCAATGTTTAAAGAGTTAGCGAGAGCGAGGCCCAAAACGATCATTCGAGAAATTCAAACACTCTGAACTTCACGTATCACGAACACTCAAACGTGGAATAATCCGTAACAGTCTCGGAGATGGCAATCGAGGATGATCGACACGGCGAGCAAAGACAGAGACGATTGGACAAGGAAGGATCTTACTTTCCTCGTGGGGATCCCCGAACGCGTCCACGTTCCGGTTGACGGTTTATATTTCGCTGGCAGTCGATTTTAATAAACTCGATGTAAACCGTTGGCCCCTACCCTTTGTGGAGAGAAAGTTTCCGGGAGAGCGCGCCGATTTTTAAATATAGTGTGCCCGGTAGGTTTGGGCAGCAACGGGAAGCCTAGGTCGGGTGTGGAACCGTGTTGTGCCACCGTCAAAGCTTTTCGCCAAGCGTTCTCCGCTTGCCTCGTTGATCCACGAAAAAGGCTCGCCATCCGTGGAATCTTTTGTTTATAATTTTTTTGATCATTACCCAACAGGCTACTAATTCCGCCGGCGGGTGCATTCAAAATTTATCGGCGGCGCGACAAAACGCACCCTTCAATCTTTTTTATCTCCCTCTGGCACCATCCCCTTCGGGGTCTCTGTTCGTCAACCGGCCATCCGCGATCGTCTCTCTTCCCTTTTTCGCCTCTTTTCACTTTCTCTCTCTCTCTCTCTCTCTCTCTCTCTCTCTTTCTCTCTTCCTATTCCGTGTTTCTCTTGCATTCTTGTCTCTCTGTCTGTCGCTGCCCGCTCGCTTTCAAGCGCGCTCCCCACTCCCTATTGGACAACGTTCAAAGGGTATTCAGAGTCGAAGGTCCGGAAATGGTTCGGTGAAAAAAACAGGTAGACAAAGTTAGGCACTTGTTTGTCCAACGGATCTATCCGGGCGTCGTGATTTCCCAAAAATTCGAGCCGTATCTTCCATCTCGCTTGCGTTGGCTCGTTTCTGTCTGGTCAACGCCATCATGCGCGACCCTCCGTACATACACATATCGGAGCTTGTCGTTTGGTAAATTCCTTTCGGGGATGAACGAACAATCGGTAACTTATTCGACAACGAGTTCTCCGACAGTAACTTCATTTCACGTCGGGAGAATCGAACGAAAGTTCAATTGAAACGATACTTGAACAGACACCTGATACTTTTTCTTAACTATTTGAATTTTTTTTTTAACAAATTGCATTTCACCGTGCACAACGTCCGCGCGATTTCTTTGATTCTTTGCGCTCGCGTTGACCGATCTAAAACGCGTTCGCGTTTTAATTTACCAAACCGGTAGAGACCGCGCATAAATCACAGTCGCGGAACAGAAACGTTCGAGAAGTGTCCGACGCGTTTTATCCGCGACAGTCGAATAAAAGTGGCTGTAGCGTATACACATATTTTTTCTTTTTATTTTATTTTTTTTTTTTATTTTCACCGGGTTAATTGAGATTGCTCGAAACGCGAAAAATCGCGAGACGGGTCGCGTGTATCCACCTTTGATCCTCCTCCCCCGACGTTTCTCCTGTATACCATCGATACGTTACGCGCGAGCGTAATTATCAGCGTTTAAATCTCTGTTCCCATAATCAAAAATGCCGTCAGCCGCATGGTGGACCCCCCCCCCCCCCCCCCCCCCCCCCCCCCCCTCGCGCTTTTCTGCGTCCCGTGGACAGCAACGGCAAAACCCGCCGCCGTTTTTCGAAAAGTAATGAACATCGTCAAAGAAAACAAAGAGCGGCCGAGCATCGTTAATGAGACGCGCTTTACACGCTGTATCCCCGGTGATATCGCGATTCCGCTTGCCTGTCCGTGGCATATTCGAAAACCGACCTCCTCTCTCGGTTAGCGAGAGAAATGGGCAAAGAAAAAAAGAGGGGAAAAAGGAAAAAAGGAAAAGCGAAAGAGGGAGGTCGAGAAAGAAAATAAAAAGAGGACGGACAAGTGGTCTCGAAGTGGTGGTGGCAGCGGTGGGAAAGGGTAACAGTCTGCATTCAGAGATCGCGGGGTGTATCAGGAGAAGGGGTGAAGCGCGAGGTAAAGAGTGTGTGTGTGTGTTTGTGTGTGTGAGAGAGAGAGAGAGAGCAAAAGCGCGGGGCCACGGTAGAAATAATGTGTTTAGGCGCAGGCATTTTTATCGCGCTACATCCCCGGCCCCCACCAACTCTGCTCGCCCCCTTCAGCCCCGAAGCTTTTGTTGTTTCCAATGCTTTATGTGAATTGCACTGTAAAATCTCATTATATTCGTGTGCAATGCGTCCATTATATCCTGTGCCAGAAACATTTTTTCTCCCACCGAGGGATTTTTCCGCCCCCGCCGCCCCACCTTTTCGTGTTCCTTTTATATTTTTCTGTTTCTTCTCTTCCTCTCTCTCTCTTTCTCTTTCTCTCTCTCTCTCTCTCTCTCTGCACCCTGCCCCCTCGCCCTTGCTTTTTCTTCCCTCCTCTGTTTTCCTTCGTTTCGGTCGCCGTGCATCTCGCTCGTTCGCTCCTTCTCCCCCGTTTCTCCCGGTGATGCTGCCCCTGGTATACTCTCTGTGTGTTGGTTGTTCCGAAGCCGAAACATTCCCTAAATTTATTCGCTCGTGCGACGCGCCACGGTTTAATTTGTTTCGCCGGAGAACAACGCGCCCGATGCGAAACAACGATGGACGCTAATTACCCCGCCGGCTCCGACCGATCGCTGTTCGATTTCGTCTCTCCGGATCCTCCGTGTCGCGCGCCCTCAAACCCCCTCACGCCGACAATCCCCTCCCCACCCCTTTGCACGCCTCTTTCGCCCTTCGTTCGATCTTTTGTTATGCTAGCTTTTCGTGATTTAGAGAATCGGTTGTTTGGGTCGCTTGTTCGGAGTTTTGCTCGGTCTCTCTCTCTCTCTCTCTCTATCTCGCTCTCTCTATCTCTCTCTGAGTGGAATAGACCCGATTGCAAATGGTTTTTTTTCGCCTCCCCCCCTCTCCCCCCTCGCCTCCGAATGTAATCAAAATGTATGGACAGCGAACGTTCGATGGAATAGAAAAAACAAAAAGGGCTATGAAAATTGTTACGGAAGTTAATTATAGCGAAAAGGATTTCCCGGGAATTGGTATTCCGCCGGGAACGTTCGGTATCATCTTGCGAAAAATATCGACGAGATTCGACGGGTGTGCCCTCTCCTCCGCGTATTTCGGGCTGAATCTTGAATTTACAACGGAACGGAGAGTGGAAAGGTTTAATTATATCGAAACAGGGTGGAATAGGATTGGAAATAGGAATTGGCGATCGATTTTATCAAAATACTGGCGAGTTTCTCTAAGTTTCATGGCCTGTTCGTACAGGGGAGGGAGAGATCTGTCATTCAGGTTAGCTTGAGTAATCTCTTCTTTATTTCGAGATCCCTTGTCTTTTTATACGTTGTCCGGTTTCTCTTGTTCGCCTTTGTGAACGTTGTCGAAACGATGCAGAAACAATAGTCTTCCACAGAAATTGCCCTGGTTCGTCACTTCCTTATCCTGTTGGATGACCAACCCGGACAATATTGAATCTATGCAAATACTGACAATGAGCTAGCAACAGTCCACATAAAATTGGACTGTGAATAGTTAGTCATAAGATCCAGTAGTTGGTCATCTATGATCATTCGCCTTCCACTTGACGATGATAACCAAATATATGTAAGGACATGCTTTAGAGACATTCGAAAGCATTAAACATTCTAAATCATTCTATATGATTCTATTTCATACACGATCACGACTGTAAGGGGACTGTAATAAATTCTTCTAAATTATAATTGTGTTGACTCCATTACACGGAATCCGGCATAAAACTGGTGTCAGAAGTGGGATAGTTTGAGCTAGTTCAAAGACGGCGTCGACCTGTTTTATGAAACTATGTAGTTTGTATCGGTCGCCGTCGAAAGATTCTGGCAATAATTTAATTAAAAATTCTAGGGAAAGTTGCGAGGTTGCAACTTGAAGGCGCATGTCTGTACTTGGTACAGTTGTCATCGTATGATACAAGAGAGTTAGAGTTCTCAGGAAAAAAAATTTTTGAAAGGAAGCAGACAAGAAGATCTTAATTGAATTGTAGTGGTACTTGAAATCATCATTTACCACGATAGCCTTGGGAATGTGTTTCCTCTCCTTTTGAGTTTATATGGTCGACTTGCAGTTCATAGCTCGCGCTGGATACTCTTGAACCAGGAATTCGACGAGGTTCATGAACGTAAGACCAATCCCACACTTCTGACACCAGTTTTATGTTGGATTCCTTGCGATGCAATCAACACGCTTATAATTTTCGAAGAGTTTATTACACCCGTTACAGTCGTGGTTGTGTATGAAATAGAATGATATAGAATGATTTATAATGATTAGATTGTCCTTTTTATTAGAATGTCTTACAATGAATGATAGAATAATTTACAATGATTTAGAATATGATGAATGTCTAATCCTCTTGAATACGATGTAGAATGATTTACAATGATTTAGAATGTCTTAGAATATGATGAATGTCTAATGCTCTTGAATATGATGTAGAATGATTTAGAATGTTTAATGTCTCTAAAGCATGTCCTTATATATATTTGGTTATCATCGTCAAGTGGAAGGATCATAGATGATCAACTACTAGATCTT